TTCATCATCCTTCTCTTTTGGGGGGTGGGGGGGGGGGGGCGATTCTCCGAAACTAAGTCCCGTCACCAAACAAAATTCAAGGCTCCCGAAAGTCGCAACATGTTCCCCAAAAAGGAAGGAGAATGAATCATCACTTACTCTATCCTTAATAGATTAAGGATAACGTAGTGGGTAAGTTGCCCAAACTAGTCAATGTGATCCACATTAACCAAATGGCCAAAACACGAAGCCTCAAATTTGTTCAGTAGATCTTTTGTAAATCGGCCTCTAATATTACCCAAACACCCCGAGGCATATAACAGACAAGAGATGGTTGCAAACACCTCATGCGGCAGACACACAAGTTCCGTCGGAGACGCAGATTTGACTTTGGAACTGTAATATTTAGAACATAAGACTTTGGAACTATAATATTTAGAACATAAGCAAATCAAATAAGATCAGCATGCACATATGATATGCACATCATATGCATATTGTTTGCCCAAATTAAACCAGTTCATCAACCAACTACAAGTATGACGAAAATCAACATGTGCACATGATATGCACATAGTATCTACCAATTCATGAACAAAATTCAATCGAATATTTCCAGCAATATCAAAAGGATATGCACATAATATACATGTAGTATTCACAAATTCAACGAATTCATGAACCAAATTCAAGCGTGCCCAATATATAGACATGCACGGATTATGCATGAATTAATGAACATGTTTCAATCAATTAATTTCCACCAACCTCTAAACCACATGCACGATAGAAATTAACATCAAACAACTTAACTGTACAAAACACTAATTCGCACCCAAAACCCAAAATTCCCAATTTTACACAACTCAGGTTCAAATAATTAAATTTCTTGTCAAAGCATACCTCTTTTGGATTTTTCCATTGAAATTTTTTGGAAAGGATGTGCAAATGCTGGGGTGGAAACAACTTTTTCAGATATTTCGAAAGGATGTGCAAATGCACAGTACACACAACTCCTAAATATGTAGAGTGGATGGAAAAGATTGCGTCGGTCGGAAACTAGGGTGAAAAAGGGTTGTGATGGCTGAAAATGGGGTAGAAAAGGTTGTGTCGGTTGAAAATGGGGTGGAAGAAGGTCGCGCCGTTTGAGGTTAGGGTTGTTGGAGCTAAGGGTTGGGCACCACAGATTTTCGAACAAGGAGGAAGATATGCGGATTTGGTTTGACAAATTAACCCATTTAAATACAAAGGCAATTAGGTCATTTCAAGATGTAGGAAAAATCCTATTTCTGTCCACTTGTTGTGCATGCGCATGATGTGTGCATATTTGAATTGTCCTATTTCTGTTCGAAGATTAAGAAATTATCCTATTTTGAAGTATTTCTCAATTTATTATGGTTTAATTAACAGAAAATATATCGACCAAAAGGTTTGAATTTTATTGTCGCACAATTTTCTTTTAGGGCATACAACCAAGAAGGGCTAGATTTAAAACCGAAAAACCAACCGACCTAATCATGACGAAGAGGCAAGTGTTAACTTTTTTTTTTTGATGGTACAAACGATATATCTATACTAAAGGATGGGAGAGTAGGCTAAACCCCACAATAGACTAGTAAAAATATGATTCAAATTCGTCTTGGTGAGAATCAAACCTAAAACCTCTCATTTACAGGTGAAGAGAAATATCACTAGATCATAGTACTAAGCGACACTTCATATATATATACACATATGCATGTATGTATATATGAGAATGCAAAGTTGCAGCGTCAAAGAAACGCAAAAGTTGAAATTCGACCTATTTAAAAGGGAAATACAGTAACAGTAACATATAAAGTTTCAATGGTGCGATGAAGTCATATCAATTTCCTGATAAGCAAAAATAAGTTCTGATCAATCGTAAACTTAGTACAACTCGAAGGATCTCCTTCCAGCATCATCTGAAGCCCACCAAATGAAGCATATACCTCCCTGAACCCAATCACAAAAACCCAGTCAAATGCATGCATTTTAGTAAGGTAACCACAAAGCCGTTAAACGATTACAACATTTTCATCTCTTTTTACTCTTGACAATTCGTTTTCAAGAAAACGTAAGATGACAGCAATATATCAGACATCAAATGGATCTCGACCTTTTTATGATTTTTAAAACAAGAGCGCTACTTGCATACATCACAAGCAATCCCTAAACGATATCCAAAAAAATGAATCCCACTAAACCAGACGCATGCCAGTAACGTTCACCCTGCGTGAGTGAGAGTGCCTCTGCGCGTGTTGAGTCATGAGCTCAACACGCAAATAAGAAACCTCTGAAAGTTGCAAAAAAAAATAAAGATGTTCAAGAATTACGTCACGTACACTTTGACATCAGTCTTTGAACCTTCATCTGAAGCCTTCGGTTTTCCCTTTGAAGATTCTGAACCTGCTGTTGACATTTTATACAGCAATCCATGCATTATATATTCAAATTTGTCGGCAAGAGATTTCTGCTCAACCTGCCAAAGGGTAATATTATTCAGTAAATAGATTCAAATCCAGTAACTTCAGATAACGCAATATAAAGACTCAAACCCACAGAAAATATCCAAATACAAAACGGAAGAGAATATTATTCTTACTTGTTATCACTCCCTACAGATACATGGGAAGGTAAGAGAGCAAATCAGACATGAACATGCCAATGGAATGTTCTTATACGCCATCAACTTTGTATACTACAAACCATTTGAAATTTTACTCGCACTAATCTATTCCGCCCTTGGCTTACCTTACTGAAACATGTGACGACATAAGCACATATCCCCTACCGACCCACGAGGTTACATCAAAATTCAATATCTCAGAGTTAATATATATTTCCACTCCACAAGGAGTATCGGACACTAGAAATCAATGCAAAGTAGAGTACCTGTCCACGTTTTCCAGCAGCAGTTGCTCCGCTCCACTCAAGTGTGGGAGACAGCACCATCAAGAATTTGTCCTTTGCACGCATAGGATATATCTCTGTATTCACATCAAGGAGCAGCAACACACCATGCTTCTCGCTCTGCGCTACAATCCGGGAAACTAAAGAAGCAAAAATCCAAATTTAATCAAAGTACCAAAAGAGCATTAGAATATATTTCAAAGGAGTTGAAAGGCTTATTGATCATGCCATTGCCAGCCAAGCTCATACTTGGAAAAGGCGTTTTCCCAACAATGTGAGGGTTGGCAACAATAAACCACTTTAGACAATTTATTAGGTTGGGGGGGGGGGGATAATGTCTCATAGCCCTAAAGGATCGACCACTAAACAGAGTGGAGATTAAATGTCTATATATTTACAAATTGCAAAATTCATTCTAGTATAAATCAAATAGACCTCAATTCTCTTTTCTTATTGTTTGTCTAAATAAAAAAGTTCGTTCATTGTAGTTAATTTTTGTTTTTTTGAACAAATGATATTATCTACACTAATGGGGGAGGGGGTGGGCTTTACCCTCACAATGAGCTAGCAATAATATGGTTCAAATTTATCGAACCTAAGACCTCTTACTGACAAGTGAAGAGGAATACCACTAGACCATAGTATTTCATTGTAGTTTGAATCCAATAGAAATCAATTCTACGACACAAAAAAAAAAAAAAAAAAATAATAATACAATGTCCACACACACATTTAACAACGAGACTCGAGTAATGCATATGAGGACCATAATTATGCTAAAACAGGATTAGATGGAAATAAATTTCAGGGGCAGATAAATGCATCTAATGAAGATTGAAAAATGAAATTGCCTGGATCTGCAAGTGGCAATGACAAGAGAGAGAGCAAGAAGCAGCTAGTTAGAAGCAAACCTTTGTCAAATTTTTTGCCATCTGGGTCCACTTTCTCAATGCTAAATATATCGTCGAATAGGAAATCGACCATTCTTATGCAAAGTTTGTGCTCAACAGCAAAGTTAGACCTACATAATCATGAAATAAAAGAAATTAAAGTCTCATAAAACGGTAAAAAGAATAATACTTGAAGCTTTGTAGAACGCAAATGTACAAAAGCGGTTCTGGGTTTCTCCTAAATTTCAAGCGACTCCAAACCATATGCAAACAATTAACAAAAACCCAAAAACATAGACCCATCTCTGAAACTGTTCAAGTGAGAAGAACCCACCAACAAAATCACAAAACTAACTGAATACAGAGAGAGAGAGAGAGAGAGAGAGGGTTACCAAGCTAAGAGACGGAGAGGACAAGCGAGTTGGGAGAGAGAAGGCTCTGAGGAAGAATTAGGAGTTGGGCGGGAGAGGGAGGACGAGAGAGCTTAGAGAGGTACTTAGGGCTTCTTTCTTATTTATTTACGTACCCGGCCCAGAACCGAAACGATTCGTTTTCCCACTTTATTAGTTTGCTACTCCGCCCCTCCCCACCACCACTACCACCACGAGACACCTTCACTTCACCGCCCTCTCTCTCTCTCTCTCTCTCTCTCTCTCTCTCTCATCACAAATCCATGTTGCGAAGGTCAATTCTGCAGATTGCGTCTCGTCGTGGACTTAGAAGAAGGATTCCGAGGCCGATTGCAAGGGAATTCTCCGCCGCAGCCCCCAAAACTGCTTCCCACCACCCTGGCGATGCAGCCAATCCGCCTCCGCCTGGAAACGGCGGTTCCAGCGCCAAAATTTTCCTCGGAAGCGCTGCCGTTGGTGCTGGGCTTGTGGCAGCTTACAAAACCGGGTATCTAGACCCACTTTTTGGTGCCAAAGAGAAGAGTGATTCGGTTAAGGATGCCGCCATTGGTTTCGAGGATCACAAACATGTAGAAGAAGAAAAACATGATGAAGAAAGAGCTGGCATTGCCGAGGAGAAGGTCGAAACGCGTTCGGATGTTCCCAATGTTGAGGGTTTGAGTGGAAGCGATGGCGAAAACCCGCAGTCTCAGGTGGATGAGGATAATAAAGCTGAGAGTGACATCACAAGTGAGAAAGGTTTGCCTGAGCATTCCCAAAATGTAAATCTTGGGTCATCATCTGAAGGGAATGTAGACGTGAAGAGTGCAGAGGAAAAAACTAGTGTGGAGATAAATGAGGCGCCCGTAGTTTCCCAGACTAGTGCAGATCAGCAAGAGAACGAGGCGAAAACACCGCCACCTGAACCGGATATTGTACAAGACAAGGCAGAGGTAGTTCTCATTTGGGTTCCTTTTAACAATTATAAGTACTTGTGGATATTGAATGCTGATAATTTAGGCTGCACTTTCCACTTAAACTTGATATATCACAAGAATTATGTGTAGAAACAATTGTCAATTGGACTTTAACATCGAAGAGAGCTTATTTGAATGGGTTTTAAATGCAGTTGCATTTGGTGGAACTTTGTTTTTACAGGTTGCATTTGGTATTGATGAAGAGCCATCGGGTTCTCTCCTCAAGGCATATCATCTGAAGGATGAGGCCGATGAAAGCATTGAAATTACTAATAGGGAGGGTGGTAATGAATACAATAACTTTCCTAATGAAAAAGAGGTAGTTATAAGCACTTCTTTTTTTCCTTCCTGTTTGATGCATATTGATGTTGTAATATCAAAAGGGATGGTCTAATTGTACTCACTGAATTCTGGTTGTATGAATCAATAGGCTCCCTGATGCAATCGAAGCGCTAAATGATGCGTACATATCTAAAGATGGAAAGTTAGTTCTCGACTTCTTACAAGCCATTCATACTGCTGAGAAAAGGCAAGCAGAGTTAGATGCTCGTGTTTTTTCAGAAGAAAAGAGAATGTTAAAGGTTTCTACTATTACTTACAAGAATTTATTGTTCACTTTGCTTTATAAGATTAACTAGAGTTGTGGGGAGCTCTTTAGTATTCATAAATTGACAAGAATTTATGGTACTTCTGTACTATTCATAAATTTGACTACCTAACTCACCACAGGAGAAGTATGAAAAGAAACTAAAGGATGCTGCGGCCAGGGAACTGATGCTTGCAGAAGAGGCAGCAATGCTAGACAAGGTTCAAGAGCTCTATCATATATCTGATTTGTTTTATTTTCAATAGACTATCTTCTTGTTGCTTTTTTCATCTGGAGCCTTGACAGGGAGTACTCCTTGTATAAGTTTGTACTACAATAATTCCATGCAATACTAAATGACCATGCTAGTTGACCTGTTTTACTAGTCATCCCATTGTCTCACTAGCACAGAGGAATCTTTTGTCTACTTGTGAAGAGTCTAGTCTGTTATTTGTTATACTGATCTCTATGCAAGTAAAAGATGCCTATTGTTGGTCTAGAAAATGGTCATTTCTTTGCTCAAATCTATAGGATACATATCCCGTTGAAAGACTAGTGGTGTCAAGCACAAGGAGTGGAGATAGGTAACCCGCATATGCACAGAGTTCCATATATTCTTACCACCCCCAGATCCAGTAATCCTGATTATTCAGGACTGACCTACAAATAACTTTTATTTACTTCAATGTAGCTATTGTTCTTACTTTTATTCCAACCGTCCATAGGAAATAAGTACTTATACTTTATACTTTATAGGGAAATTTATAGTTTTTTCTTTTTTTGTTGGTGTTTTTTCAGGAATTAAATAGAGAGAGGGTAAAAGCAGCTGCTGCACTCAAGTCGCTTCAAGAAAAGCTTGAAGAGAAATATAAGACAGAACTTGAGCACAAGGTGCAAAATTGCTTTGGTGCTGTCATTATTTGTTTTGTTTTATCTTTTTGTCTTTATGGTGCATCAGCGTATTATGACTTGTAAATTGAAATTGATACTTGAAGTAAATGCAGGAAAGTGAAGCTGAAATGAAGTTAAAAAAGGTTGAGGAATTAGCAAAAGCGGAACTGGCAGCAACAATTGCAAGAGAGAAGGCATCCCAAATTGAGAAAATGGCAGAAGCAAACCTTCATGTAAGATTACTGCTCAAGTCTCCTAGGGATAGTTCAAAACAGCTAAATGTGGATTTATGGTCCTAGTTTCATGTTCATTTGTATTAAAAGTTTTAAACTGTCTTAAAAAAGTTTGTGAAAATTTATGATATTGATCTTGATGAGATAATTTGAATCAGAAAAGTTGTTGTGTCATCTACAACAATTGATTGTAAAGTACTCAGAAAATGAACTCACTTCACCCATGTCAGTGGTCACTTGAAGTTTTATTTTAGTAATGGAACAAAACAATTAGGGGGAAGTGTAATAGATGCCAGGATACAATTTCATTTTTACAGAAGGTCCATTTTTCGTTTGTTACATGAAATGCAACACCAACTTTGCAGGCCAAAAATTTATTGGTGTAAAATGCTTCAGCTATTTATACATAATATTTTAGTCCCTTTTTTTCTAGGGGTGTGCTATCCACACACCTCTTTTTACTTCTCATACACCCCTTGTTAATTTTTGTTCTTTGATCTTCTTCAATTCATCCGATCCAACGGTCAAAAATTAAAAGGGTGTGTGAGCAGTAAAGTGGCTGTGCTATCCACACACCCCTTTTTCTATACTCTAAGCCTCTCTTTAGGGCTGAAAATTCGTAAAAGAACTAGTAAAGGAAATCACACCTAATGGTCCACTTATGATCTTTTCAAAGGGTTAAGGCATGCAGGCTTCTGTATTATACAACTTTGCAATATTAATTGATGAATTTAGCTTAAATAGATTATTCCTGGGATGTACATAGTGTGTTTGTGTGTATGAATGTATCTAATTAGTGATTGATGAATTCGTCCACTACGAAATCTGATGTTTAGGTCTTTTTGTAGATAAATGCCTTGTGTGTGGCATTCTATGCAAGATCTGAAGAAGCTCGTCAGACTCACTCTGCTCACAAATTTGCTTTGGTGAATATTATTATTATTTTTCCCATTCACTTCCTTTGTATTTATTTTGAAGAGAACATAATCTATTCATACCCCCATCAGTGATTTTTATAGCCTTTAGGTTTTATCCTATCAATGATGTGTTGTGGGTATTGCAGGGAGCACTTGCACTAGATGATGCACTTTCAAAAGGATTGCCAATTGAAAGAGAAATAGAGGCTTTGCACACTTACCTTGAAGGCATTGATAAAGATTCAATCTTGGATGTGGTCCTATCATCTCTTCCTGAAGAAACACGAAGGAATGGCACAGATACCTTATTGCAATTGAATCAGAAGGTTAGTAGTTATTTTCTTACTTTTTCATTACATATTTTATAGTGGAGATCATTACCCTTATGATCAAATTATCACCCTTATGTAACCTTTTACTTTTACTGTTGAACTTGGGTTTGGTCGCCTCTAGCTGATGGTAAAGACAAACCATACCTCTTTATATAGTTGATGGAAGTATTTTCCTCCTGGAAAGTTTGATTGCACGACATTGAACTGCTAGTAATTCATTACATTTCTAAGTTTTTTGACATCAAGCTGTTTGCTAAAGTTATACTCAAGTGTTGCCTCAGAAGTCATACATCATTTTAGAGCAACAGGCTACAGATGCATAACATATTTTAAGTTACTACCCCCATCAAATATGTCTTAAGTTTTTCAAAACTGTTGATGACATCTTGTCTACTTCTTTCTTCATTTATTAGCAAGGATTCTGAGGAAATTTCCCTATCCACCATTTTTAAGACATGACTTTTGGACTTAACTAGGCTGATATTGATAAAGTTGGCTGTAGACGAGGGTATTTTTAATCTATTGTGTTCACTTCATATGCCCGGAATTTAGGACAATGTTGTGCCTTGTTTCTAATATATTTTTTGGTTGTCAAAATATGTAAGATTAAAATTTAGTACGCTCTCTTGAGTACATATTGACTAAACTTTTCAAATATTCTTAAATGTTTGTTCGGTAACTTGAGTTCCAGTTCTTGGGATTATAAATTTGCCTTGGGTATTTCCTTATGAAATGCATAAAGGTACAGGTTCACTGTGAGCAATATCCTGACTTAGAGAGTGTCTATATGAAAAATGGATGAGATATTAATTGAAGTTGCTTCAGATTCATGAATTCTCACCATTTTTAGTATGAACTATGAAGTTCTGTGAACTGAAAATAGTTGAGTGCTTCAAGTTGTGTTTGTGAATTCTGAAAATCTTAGTAAGAATTTGTAATACCTAGTGGTGTACTTGCTAAACTTAATTCTCGGTGCAGTTTGATGCCTTGAAAGGTACAGTACGGCACCTCAGTTTAATCCCTCTTGGTGGTGGTGGCATTTTGGCACATTCCTTGGCACACATTGCATCCTGGTTGAAGGTAAGTAGATATGAGGTCTGGGTTTCCGTTCTAAATTCACTAGTAGTCTAGTAAAAATCAACTTATTGGAGTGCTTGGTGTACTTGCCCTCGGGGTTTTGTATAGGTGAAGGAAGTTGACCACTCAGGGGACGGAATTGAGTCCATCATCAACAAAGTGGAGCACTACCTTGCTGAAGGAAAGATAGCCGAAGCAGCAGAGGCACTTGAAGAAGGAGTGAAAGGCACCCAAGCAATGGAAGTAGTGAGTGAATGGGTGAAGCGTGCTAGGAATAGGGCTATCACAGACCAAGCTCTAACGCTTCTCCAATCATATGCTACTTCTATCAGCGTTACATAAAGTCCATTTCTTGACTACACATACCGAGCCTACCATGTTAAAATGGAGGGGCTAACACTTTGAGAGATTTGTAAAATGCCATTCGATCTAGTGTTGTAGTTCTCCATAATTGTTTAAACAAGCGAATCATCCAGTTCAATGTGTTACCAGCAGAAAGAGTGAAAATGTCAGTTCTTTTTCATGCAGGGTCACTGCCATGGGAAGTTTCCGGATCGTCCCCTTGAGTGGCATTTTGTTTCAGTTGCTACCAAGTTTTGCATAGTCAGTGCGTCAGGACATTCTTGAAACAGAAGCGACCAAGTGTGTGCACAAGATGAATAAATGAAATTGTTCTCTTTTTGAGTAACTATGCTATTTGAACACCATCATGTGTTAGGGGTTCCTGTTAAGTTCGCTATTAATTTTTATATACTAAATTGTTTGCTATTTGGTATAACTAAGAATTGTTTGATAATCATTTTATTTTCATTTGCTTTTTTTTTTTTTTAAATTGAACACTCATTTGGTAACTATTTTCAATTTTTTTCAAAAAAAATATGTTTATTTAAAGGAACGAGGATCCTTTATGAATCCTTTTTGTGAGGGTTCTAGGGATCCTTAAATCGTGTTCGTTCATCGTACATCGTGCAGTTAGTTTTTGTTAGGTATTGTTCATGTTTGATTTTAAATAAAAGTATTTAAAATGATTTCTAACCGCACGATATACAATAAACGGACACTGTTTCAGGATTTCCAAGATCCTCATTTTTTTTAAGGGCCTAAGACCATCTCCAACTTTTGTATTAAAATCCAAAATTTTTAACCCAAAAATAGTTTTTCTGCTTCAACCCTTGTGTTAAAAATCTTGTTGGGGGACTTTTAGGTCGAGGTGGACTTAGGCTTTAAAAACGTCCTCTTGTCTCCCTTGGTGCGGATTTGTACCAAGTCTTAGGATATCTCGACAGAGATGGCTTGTCTTAGGAAATACCTCGGTAACATCTACAGCTCGACATGATTGATCATGATAATGACTTGCTCAAGTGAAGCGTCATGTGGAAGCTAGAAGATTATCAATTTACATGAGAGAGAAGGGATTTGCATGGTTGCATGGCATCCTTGACTGGATAATCTGGGCTTTCCTAAGGTGGTAGCAAGATTTCTACTGGTTGAGATGTTTGATGGAAGGTTGTGGGGATTACTAAGGTTGCATGAATGGTGATGCTTGAGGACGCTTCTGGACTAAATGGAACTCTCTGGGCTTATTTCCTGGGTGGTTCTCTCCCTTGCGTTCTCTCATATCTCTCTCTATATTCTACTTGTGTTCTAACTCCCCTCCAATGGCTTATCTCCCTCCTTTTGTAGATGAAGGGTTTTTCTTTAGGCTTTAAAGGGATCTCCTTTTGTGGCTTGGTATTCCCCTATTTTCTCCCTATTCCTCCTATTATTCCCTTTTTGGTGTAAGATAACTGCACTATTGAGACTTGCAATTTGCTTTTTCCCGAGACGCGCCTTTCCCAGGGTGGCCTTCCACAGGAGTTACTTATGGTAGTGCGCCTCATGGCTTTTGTGCATTGATTGTCTGTGCAGGTTGGGAAGGGAAAGTCAGCATTAAATGTCTAACTTGCTCGGCTTAACATGCATTTAATGCAAGAATCTAGTTTAGTTTTAACTAAGGGGGTTGGCTTGTTGAGGAAAATGGTAAACTAAGCTAGTTCTCTCCCAATGTTGTATGCATGAAATACAAAGGGTATCGGCTTGGATTTTTGGGCCACCAAGCAGCCTAAAGTCTTCCATAACCCCAATTCCATGTAGGCTAGATAACCTTCTGTAACCATCCCCATCACAATCCACTTGACAAGCTCTGAATATGTGACTTGGGCTTAGCATTGATAGTGACTGAGGAAGCATGGCGTGGATATCCGGCTTAATCACCATGGTATGGCATTTTGGTAAATATATTCCTTGTCGATCCCGCTCCTTGGCATGTGTTTAGGCTTGAATGTAGGCTTTGCATGACAATTGGGCCATAAGATTTGGTTGGATTGGTGTGTGACATTTTTGGGCCCCAACATTAGCCCCTTTGATTATTTGGGCTATGAGAATCCTTGAATGGGCTGAATAATCAACCCCAAGCCCAAGGAATTCCTTTTTTAAACGTGGGCTTCTTGATGAGACTATTCCTTTTCCTGCGTGGCAGCTGATAACTCCATGACGTTATGCTCCCTCGCTTCCCGTGCACGTCCAATCATATGGAGAAACTCTGGGTATTCCTCAGCCTCCACTTGATAACCTTTACAAACTGCTCTTCTCCTAAGGACAAGTATTTAATTTGTCCCTGCTTTTCCTTCTTTTTCTTTAATTCTCATTCCTTCTTCAAATTACCCATAACTGCTTTTCTTTCAAATTCCTTTTTGCTTTCTGCGCTGGGTTATGACATCCCGTTCGTGCTTCTTCGTGCTCTGCGATAGGGTTTTCTTCAGGTAAGGAAATTCTTCCTTTGACCCTTATTTGAAATTTTCTTTTCCCTTTTGCCTTTTCTGTTTGCCATGGTGATAAAATTAGGCATGCATCTCTCCTCTTTGATTATGTGTTTTTAAGATTTTAGGTTTCAGCATGGATGCGCAAGGGGTGTGGGTCATTCCTTCGAGAAATCAAACTCCACTCCTTGGGTAGTCTTGTTGCATCGAAATCAAGTGTGTTTACCTTCTGCAATTTCTCTCTTGCTTTCCATGTATATTGTGCAATTGTAATTTAGCCTAGGCTTTTTTGTATGTTGGTGCATGCTTGAGTGGGATCGATTGATCAATGCATGATAGGCTTGTCATGATTAGTTTAACTGCATACAACTTATTTTTGCTTGGGTACATGTATAGCACACTTCCCCTAGCTAGATCTTTTAGGGCTTTGATAGCATGACATATGTAGGGAAAGATGCATGTGTTTTGTATGCTAGCATGAGGGAAAATAGTCCCATGTTTAAAGTCTTAGACTTTTGCATGAAAGGCTTCGAATTTTATGCACGTACCTTTTTGCTTTCCCAGGCCGCGCTTGCTTGCTTTTCTGGGGCAGATTCCTTATTGTCTTTTGTTTTGTATGCTTGCATGTTGCATTGGCTTGTAATATCTATGGTTTGACTGTTACTTTCTATAAGTACGTTATAGCTGCGAAATTACCTGAGTGCTTAACTGCAATAGATGGGTCTTTCACTACTGAGGACCGTCTTTAACGAGGCAGGCCGCTGCCTCTACTTGGTTCTCAGAACAATGCTTTCAAGGAGAATGAGCCTTCCTTAGACTCGGTCCCTCCTATGGATCCCAGGCGCATTCCTTGGTGTTGCATTGAGAATGGGTTGTTTCCCGCTTTGCCGATCCACTTTGAGTTTTCTTGCGGTGAGGCTACTGGCTGGGCAGATTGGTGGATACTGAGCTTAGCTTTGCGAACCAGTGCATGACCTTGACAAGGGCAAAGGTTTTCGATGCCGTCTTTATGACTAAGAAACAAGTTGTCTGCCTTGAGCCTGAACTTCTTCACCACATGGTTAGGAGGTGGAGTAAATAGACCCATACCTTCATTTGCGCTTGGGGAGAGTTTACCCTCACTCTGGAAGGTGTCGCCAAAGTTATGCATCTTCTGATTGTGGGTAATGTGGATCCCTTCCGCTATCTTATTCCTTCTGCAAACATTGCGACTTTTGATGTTTTGAAAAATGGTGCTCATACTTCTCTGAGTAAGGCCCTCCGATTCAACGAGTGGATCAAGCATTTTTGGAAGAAGAAACAAGAACCAAACTGCCGATTCAAGGCCATGTTGTGTATGTGGCTAGGCCGCTTTATCTTCTGTGACAGTAAAGATACCTTCAGCGGCCAAGTGATTCCTTGGGCCATTGCAATTGCATGAGGCCATGTGGTCTCACTGGCTTCATTGTTTTTCGGGCTTCTCTACCATGAATTGGATCAGCTTCATACTTTGGAAGAGCAAGTTGTGAGTAGTGCCCCATTGAAATGTTTCCTTTGTGCTAGCTTCCTGCAAATCTTCTTGTGGAAGTGTATGAAGGGTCTGAATATACCCATTACCACTCCGGTGCAGCAAAGAGCCACTATGTTATCGACTTTTCCTCTTACTTGCCTAAGAAGCTCCTGATGGCTTGCCGTTGGTTCGAGAAGATTTCGATGAAGAAGCAGGACTTCTTGGAGCATTTAGATGATGTGAACAACTTTGTTTTCCGTCCGTACATGTCCGTCTCTGAAGGTTTTGCCTCTGTTATGTTTTTTTCTGATGTTGTTTGTGGTGAGGATTCAAGTGCGACGTCAATTCCTCTCTTCGAAAATATGGATTTCCCTTCACTCACCAAAAATCATTGGCTTTGTTGGCTCTTTCAATCCCCTTCATGGGGGAAGATAGCGAGGAAATGAGTGCAGTCTACTTTCTTTTTTGGGTGTGATGCCAACTAGGTTTTGACCAAGGGGTGCCGATATCTTTCCTTGCTGATGCCTATTTCAATAAATTATTTTGGAGTTTTGTGTATGCGCTTTCATAATGTTTTTGTCATTTCTAATATATTACCAATCGAACCTAGGTAGGTGGCATCTCTAAAGGCTATGTTGCTTATTGGTTGAAGTATTTCTCTGCCATCACCAAATTCCATGGTGACAAGTAACCGTAGTTGTCTCTCAGCGTTGTCAACTATCCCAGACTGGTGTTAGAGCCTATAGATGCTGCTTCCAATTCGAATTGCCGATGCCCTACATCAGCAGAGGAAAACAACGCTTCGAGTAATTCTTCCCAGAGCACCAAGAAGAGTAAGGCATCAGGTTAAGGAAAGCCTGCAAATCAAGGGAAGAAAGCGCCTTCGGGTATATTTCTTGACTTAACTTTTTTTGCCAATTTCCCTTTGCATGCTTTTCCTTAGTGCTTTACACGTTATACCCCACAAGATGTAATAAAGCACTTCAGGCCTCGAGTGGTGAATGATGGTCCACTTAGCAGCAAGCTTGACGTTTCCCCCATTCCAAAGAAATCAAAGAGTGAAGGTTCTTTAGCGAGCCAAAGATTGGTAATGGTTATTTCTTTGCTCTTTGCTTCTGTTGGTTTACGATTATATGTTAACCATGACTTTTGTTACAGCCAAGGCTCTTACCAAGGAAGCAGCTCATGCTGGCCCTACTCGTACGACCAAAAGTGCTCGGGCATCTACTTCTTATGGCACTTCCATGCCTTTTAAGTTCCTTGATATTACTATTGCGAGTGATGAAAAATGGAGCGCTGGGGAAACTAACGGCAATGAGGTAGCTGGCGAAGGCTTGGCCGCTGAGGAAATTAGCAATATAAGTGTTGAGTTTGACCCTGGAAGCGAAGAACATCCTTAGGCTTCCCTAGGGAAGGACACAAAAGGTGAAGATAGTGGCAGAAAACTAAGTGGAAATGATGACAGCAAAGCAGCAAAGGATGTTGATCTTGATGAAGTTGATAAATTTTGAACGATGACGTTT